GTCCCTCCGCCCCTTCCCTCCGCCCCGCCCCAGCCTTCAGCCCTGACCCCGCCCCATTTCTCTGCACCCGGCCCCACACAATCTCTCCGCCCCGTCTAGCCTTCATCCCCGCCCCTCTTAGTATCCTCCGCCCCGTCCCAGCCTTTAGTTCCGCCCCCCGCCCATCATCCGCCCCTCCCCATTCCTCTGCCCCCGCCCCATCCCAGCCCTAAGCCACGCCCCCTCCTTCAGCCTCGCCCCTCCAAATCCCTCCGCCCCGCCCCAGCCTTCAGCCCTGACCCCGCCCCATTCTTCTGCCCCTCACAGCCCCATCCAATCTCTCCGGCCCATCCCAGCCGTCAGCCCCGCCCCCTCCCTCAGCCCCGCCTCATCCTAATCCCTCCGCCCCGCCCCAGCCCTCAGCCCCGCCCCCCGCCCCAACCCTCCGCCCCCAGCACCTCCCAGCCGCGTCCCGCGACCGAACTGCCCCCTACGGTTCTGTTACAGAAAAGCAGCCTCAGGAAGAGAATGAAGTTGACTCCGTTCTCCTTTCAGCGTCCAAGATCCTGAATTCCTCTGAGGGGGTGAAGGAAAGTGTCGGCAGTGACACAGGTAAAATCGCCAGTTCTTAAAAGGCTCCTCTAACTGTACCCCGGGCGGCAGCCCCTGGCGTGCGCCACCTGGCGTGCTTCCCACAGCCGCGATGACACTGACAGCAGCCACCAGTGCTGCTCTAAGCACGTGCTGGGCCAGCTCTTTCATTCTCACAACACGTTTACGAAGTAGGTGCTATCACCATCCCCATTTCGCAGGTGGGGGAACGGGCACAGAGGGGTTAACTCCCTAAGGTCACACAGGCAGCAAGGAATGGAGCGGGCATGCAGCAGGGCGGCTCCGGGCTCCCTGTCTTCACCACCACGCTATGCTACGCCGCTTCTCCGAACGCCAGGTAAGAACTGTGGGGTTTTTTGGACAGACACGAAAATGATTCGCAGTCAGCCCTCGGTATCTGGGAGTTCCGCATCCTTGGATTCAAACAACCACAGATGGAAAATATTCAGGGGAAAAAAATAAAAATAACAGTAGCACGATTTTTTAAATACAAATTTTGAAACAGCGTAACAACCATTCACATCGCGTTTACATTGTATAAAGTATTACAGGTAATTGAGAGATGGCTTAAAACATACGGCAGGATGTGCATAGAACCTATGCACACACTACCCCATTTTGTATTAGGGACTTGAGCATCTGCAGATGTTGCTATGGTCAGAGGCTCTGGAACCAATCCCCTGTGGATATCCAGGGAGGTGTGTATACCTTTTCTAAAGAACTGCTTTTTACAGTATTTGTGGACTATTTTATGGGGACAATGTTTGAAATAGCCACATAGCTAAAGCTTTCAAGTTCCACATAAACTATGAATAAGACGGGGGTACCCAGCTAGGGGACTCTAAGAACATTGAAAGTGGAGTCTCACCTCCTGGAGAGAAGCCCTAGGCGACTACACGCCTCTCAGAGAAGCTGCTGTGAGGTGACACCCTGGGGAAGGAGCAGAGCATGGGGCAGAAGTGTCTAGACTGATGGGCCACACACAGACCCCCAGTTGCCCCTCTGTAGGATATGGGTTATCCTGATGCCATAGTGCTGAACCACAAGAGGCCTGAGGTTGGGACAGGATTTCTGCACCTCCACCATCCAAGATCTTCACAAAAAGCCTGTAGGGACCTGGAAAGAAAAGACTAGAGCAGCCACACCTACAGTCCTCTCTCCACCCTCCTGCCCCCACCCATGAGATCTGCAGGTTTCCCTGTGCAACCAGAAGGGGCAAAGGCAGCTCCTGAACGCAAAAGAAAGAGTCCTCACAGAGCGTTGAGACACAGGCAGCTCCATATTTCCCTCAAAGAGATCACGTAAGATCAGAAGAAATGAAAGTACCTTAGTTTGGCAAGATTATGTTTTCTAACAGGAATGAGGCTTAGGGTTCTGGAGAAACATGCCAACATTTATAGAAAATAGTTACATGCAGAATAGCACGTGTACTTAAGAGCTAATGTCTTTCTTGCCAGAACACCGTGGTTACAGGTGTGTTCTCAATAAACACCAGTTGTCAGGGGCCACCCAGCAATTCCCTGCCCACAACTACAGGCAAAATTAGGAGATATGGCTGGCACCTTCCCTCTGTTCTCCTGTCCATGCTTCATTGTCACCAAGTGATCCATTCCCCAAAATAATGACCTGATTTGTGTAACTACTGCCAGGTTACAGAGTTTTAGAATATTCCCACGGTCTCTATGGTTTCAGAACCAGTAGTTAACCTAATTAACCCTTACTGGAATGGGTTTGTGTGAATGTCCAGGGTGTTGTTCCCAGAACCCTGTTCTACCCGAGCCTTCATTCATTTGTTCATTTTGTAGGGAACCAGCTCCCACATCATCCATGGGTACCCCAAGTTCAATGGCGACAAAGGAATGAGAAAAAGACAGGTTGAGAATGCAAAAAGTGGGACCAGGGGGCCATCACTGCACTGGAGGCAGTGAAGGCCTCGAGCTCTGATCTACCACGGTATTTACAGGTTCCAATCACTTTGATCTACAGGGTAGGGGTGGAGTGATGGGGCGAATCTGTGAACCGGAAGTGAATCAGTGGCCGGAACTAGTGTGTCGTTGTAAAGATTGATAACAGTGGCCGTTTGGGAGTTTCACAAATTAAGAACACGTGGTTCTCTTCGACCTGTTATCCATGTGCAGCTGGTGGAACTCAGGCCTTACAAGGAGCCTACAAGTCTGGTTACATCTTAGTGCTACGAAGGGGTTTTATGTCCTTTAGCTCAATGTTTACGGGAACAGAGCCTGGGTCACCCTGCACGGGAACGTGAGGCGTGGAGAAGTCCGTCTCCCCAGAGGCCTCCCCAGTCTGTATGTTACTCATATCCAATTTATGTAGGCCCTCTGCAAGTCCTACCTCCTTTGCTGCTTCCCCCGACACATTTGTGGAGCATATTCTTCTGAGCACCTGCTAAGTTTCAAGTGCTGTTCTAGGTGCTGGGGACCCAACAGTGAATAACACGTGCAAGATTCCCTGCCCACACGGAGCTGACCTTCTAGTGAGGGAATAGACAGCCTAAGGATATTGTGTGTAAGTGGGGAATAAATCCTATGGAGAAAATAAGGCTGAGAACGAGTAGAGGAATATTTGGAGTGGCAGAGGTGGGTGGGAAGTGTGTAATTTTAAACAGTGGGGTGGGAGAAGGCCTCACTCAGCAGGTCACATTTAAGCCAAGACCAGAAGGAGGTAAAGAAGCAATCAGTGGCCGGGCACAGTGGCTCAGTGGCCGGGTGTGGTGGCTCATGCCTGTAATCCCAGCACTTTGGGAGGCCAAGGCAGGCAGATCATGAGGTCAGGAGATCGACACCATCTTAGCCAACATGGAGAAACCCTGTCTCTACTAAAAATACAAAAATTAGCTGGGCGTGGTGGCACATGCCTGTAGTCCCAGCTACTCGGGAGGCTGAGGCAGGAGAATAGCTTGAACCAGGGAGTCATAAATTGCAGTGAGCTGAGATCACGCCACTGCACTCCAGCCTGGTGACAGAGCGAGACTCTGTCTAAAAAAAAAATCAGTGCAGATTTCTAGGGAAAGAGCATTGCAGGCAGAGAGAACGGCTGCAAAGACCCTGGCGTGGAAGCGTGGCTGGTGTGACTGAGAAACAGCTCTTGTAAATGGAGCAGAACAAGCAGGGAAGCGTAGGACGGAGGAGCCAGGAGGAGGCTTTGTAGTTCCAGGGATGAATTTGAGATTTCTTCTGAGAAAACTGAGAAGCTCTGCAGAATTTTGAGAAGGCTTCTCTCCCCTCCATCTTGACTAGAAATTTTGAATTTACCAAATTATCATCATATTGCCTCTGCAGTAGTGAGTTAGTGTCTCTGGAGCATTCACTATGGCCATACACCTCCTCATGGGCTTTACCTACAAAGTGCACACTTGCCTAGAGTTACCCCCTCACTGCGAGTGTGTAGCAAAGCTAGGATTCAAATCTGAGCAGCAGGCAACGTGCTCCGTAGCTCCTTGCATAACAAGTGTGACGAAGCCTCGTGCAGAGGGTGCCACACCTCACAAGGCTTTGTAAGACAGGGACATCTAGGAATGAACTTGAATTGTCATAGAACTCAGTATTAGAACCTGCGGCCAGGCATGGTGGCTCACACCTGTAATCCCACATTTTGGGAGGCCAAGGCAGGAGGATCACCTGAGGTCAGGAGTTTGAGACCAGCCTGGCCAACATGGTGAGATCATGTCTCTACTAAAAATACAAAAATTAGCCGGGCATGGTGGCGCACGCTGGTAGTCCCAGCTACTCAGGAAGCTGAGGCAGGAGAATCGCTTGACCATGCGAGGCAGAGGTTGCGGTGAGAAGAACCTAAGATTGACAAAGAGAACCTGGCATCCTATATAGAATCGTGTTGCATTTGCAGAAATTTGTTCCTCTTGCTCTGTCTGTTGCAAGTATGCAGTTATTAGTTTTTGTATACATTGGATGCAATATTTTTTGCAGACTCAGAATAAGAATTACCTCAAAAGTCATCCCATTGATAACTATCTTGTTTTTCACGTTTGACACAAATATGAAACAGCTGGAAAACTTAAGTTGAATGTAAGATGAGTACTATTCCTTACATTCCCAATAAACTCTAATCTTGGTGGGTGGGGACCTGTCTTCCGCTTTGCTTATGCACCTCCCAAGACTGTACCTCTAGCAGGGACTTGGTAAATGGTGAACTGTGTGTTTTATCTCCTGGGTTCTTTGATATTTTCCCTTCCAATTCTGGAATCACATAATTCTATGTGACTACGTTTTGCTGAGTTTTAAAATTACCTTTCCTTTGGGAAAAAGGAGCAGCTGTTGTCTCTGAAACTCATAAGAAAAACAGAAACTTATGTTAATGGCTTTTAAAAAATAGATGAATCCAACTCCCTGCCTACTTTCTGCCTGCACAGAATCATCTGAACATTGCTGGAGAAAAACACCCGCTTTTGAATCATACCATGAATCGAAACTGAGCCGTCAGTGCTATTGGGAAAACTTAATTTATTTCCACAGCAAATTCTTTTTCAAATCCTCTGCAAGAAAGTGATTTCACTCTTCCTGTTCTGAAGTCTCGAACACCTTTCTCCCTGGCCTCTCCAGTCATAACACGGCCCCACACTCTGTGAAAAAAGTAGAAGCAGTCAGACCCAAAGCCCTTTATTCTCAGCCTTCACGTTTGTGAAAGCACCTGCCTGGGTCCCCATATTCTAAGCCTTCTCCCGTTTCAACGGAAGAACTGTCCTTCACCGATCACAGGTTATTTCCTTTGGATCTCATCCCTTCTGGAATCTCAGGTACTCAGCTTCTGCAATTAGCCTCCCTCGCTGTCCAAAATTATTGCTTTTCTCCCTTTCCGCTATGTGATTCCAGCAGCAAACAAGCCCGTTAGACTGTCCCGTGGTTTTAAAGAAAATCCTTCTGTTAGCCAGGTGTGGTGGCACATGCCTGTGGTCGCTGCTACTCTGGAGGCTGATGTGGGAGTGCGAGCAGGTTGTGGGGTGCTGGGGAGGCACAGCTCCCCCGAGAGAATGTTAGAGGTTCTTGGTCTCCCGCTCTCTCAGGAAGGAGAGGGGACCACAGCACCGTGCACTCGTAAATACCAGGCCAAAAAGGGGTTTGCAGAAAATGATTTCTTTAGGTAGAGAAAGAGGAAACGGAGAAGGGAGAAAACTTTTGCGAGAGAGAGAGTGTGGAAGGGGATCCGAACATGGAGTCCAAAGGGGCGTGGAGGAAGGGGACTTTTGACCTGGGAGGAATTCCCTCCCTCTCCAAGCCCCCTGGCCAATGACAGGAGTTCCTCAGAACTTCCGCTGGAGTGATTGACTTTTGACCCTTTCCCACGCATGCAAAAATTAAAACGGAGACGTTAAATCTCCCGGATGGAGAGAGATGGGAGCGGGGCGTGGCGCCGGAAGTTCTTACCCGTAAAACTGCGCCCCCTTGTGGACCCTGGAAGAGAGCACATTCCCTCTGGGGGATCGCTTGAGCCTGGGAAGTGGACGTTGCAGTGAGCCAAGATCATGCTACTGCACTCCAGCCTGGGCAACAGAGTGAGACCCCAGCTGAAAAAAAAAAAATCAATCCCTCTTGACCGTCACATCTCTTCCAGGATGCACTCTCATCCCTTCCACTGTAAAACTAGAAAGAGCTACCTATTCTCTATGCCCACCAAGCTCCACATTCCATTCTCTCCTCAAGCACTTCCTTCGAGCTTCTCTGCACGTCCTTCCATATGGCCAGTAGTGACATCCATGTTGAACGATGTGTTGATTGCTGCTCCCATGTGCTATACACCGGTAGACCCACCTCACTACTGGATATCTCTCCTTTGATGTTTAACAGACAACCTAGCCTTGATGTAGCTAAAAATATTTTTCTCCTAAAGCATGTTCCTACTCTGTTTTCCCTCAGAAAATTCTGTCTCCACTCATCCATCTGCTCTCACCAACAAACAAGGAGTCGTCCTTCATTCTTCTCTCCTGGCCCCAGCTAACCCTCCAGCAATGCTGCTGGCCTCGTCTCCAGAGTACATTCTGAATCCACCTACTTTTCTCCATCTCCTCCACCACCATTCTAGCCCAAGATACGGTCATCTCCTCTTGCATTATTGCAATAGCCCTGCAATTGCCTTCTCGCCCCCGCCCCATAATCCGCTATCATGCAGCAGAGTAACTCGTAAACGTTTCCATCAGATCCAATCATTCTCGTGATGGAAACCTTCCAAAGTTCCCCGTTTCACTTAAAGGAAAAGCCAACCCGCTCAGCTTGGCCTGGAGGCCCTGCTTAATCTAGCCCCTGTCTCCTGCTCCGAGGTCTCCTCACCTTGTGCCCCTGTGGGTTCGTTAAGCTGCTTAGTAATAGTGCAATCACACTGTGGCCAAAAAAGGAAGAAGAGATGGAAGATGAAACATAAATGTAGACAACATATATAAACCCCATTGCTTTCTTTAAAATCTCTTATTTACTGTTTCCCTCTATCAAGTCTGTACATTTCTTTTGGTCCCATATTTCTTATTTGGTTTTAGCTAAACAAATCCTATATTTAGCCTTGAACTTGCAAATCCTCCTAATGAAAGGAAATCTGTACAGAAAAAGGAGGCTGTTGCTGCAGGTGTAGGAAGGAGAAAGGATTTGGAACCGTTACATCATTCAGAATAAAGTCGAAGGCTGAAAATATTCACGAGAATGATACCCTCTCTTTGTGTTTACATCAAGAGCTGTGTGGAAATTCCCGTTACAGAACATCTTGAAACTTCACAGTATAAAAACCGTGTAACTAGCAAATATGAAAGGAGGAGTGTGGATGAAGGAGGTAGAATGCTCATTTTCTCATCTCTCTTGGCAGGAAGTATGTCAACACTGAATATCAGAACTGTATATTATTGAAACCATAAAGATTTCAATCTCAATTTTATATTAATTTTCATTGGCTTATAGGGATCTCTTAGGAAATAATATCTCTCATGTAGCAAAAAAAAAAAATCTGAATACTAGAAATAACTTCCACTACTTGCAGTTTAAAAAAAAAAATCTCTTAAATTCAAGTAAACATAGGTACTATTTATGTAACATGCCATTTATGTGTAAAATAATCCCACTTACTCCACATATCTGCATGGAAAGCAGACTGAAAGAAGGCTACCTAAAATGAACAACAGTTAGTTTTGGTGGTGGGATTCTAGTGATAAATTCTTTTTGATTTGCATTTTGGTCTAGTAAGTTCACTAGAAGACGTTACTTACGAGTCTGAAAAACTTTGTGATTCCTTTTCATACTGGTCCCAGCCTTCCTTCAGTTCCTTATTTTTTGGTTGAACAGTTCACGATACCAGGAGTTGACCTGCCATTTTATTCCCACCAAGAGGCAAACCGAAAGCCAGATCCAGACAGACCCACTCTCCCTCCCCGCCCTCTGACTGAAGGTGGGATTCTTCAATAGCCAGGCAGCTTTGGGCTCCAAACCAGTGTTGCTTTTTTGGTGGTGAGGGCCAGAGGGCAGAAGGGGTGCCTGTACTTTGCAACCAGCTTCTCTAACATCTGACAGATTGCCAGCCAAAGAAGAGTTGCTGACCCGTTTAAAAACTTAGGGCAGAAATTATCAGCCTAGGGGAAGCTTCAGTCATAGCTCTCATTTTATTTAGGACTCTGAAAGCTTTTATTAATACACTTACAAAGCAAGTAGCCTGACATTCAGACAAAGAGGACGTCAGGAAATTTGCAAACATTATATAGTCTCCCCCTGTTGCAGATCTATAACCTATCCAGGAACGTATCGAGCAACTGACATTCTGCCTGTTACCAAAGGAAGCTGGAGTACTTCTGTCTGCTGTATCTTAGTATCAGAGTCACCAAAGAAAACTCAAAAGTCAGGCGCTGGATGGAACCACGCTTTACTCACAGAGCGAAGAGACAGAGCAAGATCAGTCAGTAGTGGGTATTGGTTCCCCATGGCCAGAGGGCCCCTCCTGTCCTCTGCTGTCTATCTAGCAGGGGACAGAGAGAGTACTGAGTTCGGCCAGGCACCATGTGACACACACGCTTAAACAGAACAAAAGCGTACACACTGAGTCTGAAGCAGGGAGTGCTCTCCCCGCCCACAGTAGCAAGTCAGCACGGGCTGTGAGTAAGGGCTTAGAAAGAATCCTCTTGGCAAAGAAGTGTTCCAGGCCCGGGCACATTCATACATGGCCAAGAGGGGAATCTAAGGACTATGTGTGTGAAACTGCCTCTCCCAAGGGAGGCAACATGTGGGTGTCTTGCTTAAGAGCAAGACAAAAATGATGCTGTTGATCCACCTTGGTTTCCATAAGGGGGAAAATGTCATGGAAATTTCATAGAAATCGAGGCCTATATACAACTTTGCCAAGGGTTTCCCATAACATGAGGATTATTTGGGTTTTTTTAAATGTAGTTTATATCCTAGAAACAAAGATATTTGATATTGGAGTTTTTGAGACTTGTAAGTGTGGTGCTGCAATGTCATGTTGTGCTCTGAAAGTGAAGACACTGTTCAACCTCAAGTGGATATTTCAAGGCAAGTGAGAATTATCTCAAGCTTATTATGTGACTAGCATAGTGTGAATATCAGATGTTCTCGTTATCTCTGTCTCACCATCCAAGAAGGTTAGGAGACCGCTTCCTATTACAAGTATTAAAAAACAAAACTGGGAATTAAGTCATATGGTTTTTCAATTTTGCTTCTTAGAATATGGCTGCGTATCAGAATCAGAAAATCAAATCCAGCCACAATCAGCATTGAAAGTGAGTCTGTATTTCATTTTATTATCTCCAAAATCCTGGGTAAAGGCTGATCTTTTTCAGAATAAATACTCCCTGAATGCATAAATGGGTTCTTCCACTTTATCCTGACAAAGATCTTCAGGAAAGCACACTGGGGAGTTAGCAAAATGACTAAAAATGTGAACCGCCTGACCCCCATGGGATCCTTTCAAGTGATAGGCAACTTTGGGAGACGTGAAATCATAACAACCCCAGAATATGTTTCCCTGCCTGAAAATATTCAGCGTAATGCTTCGCTTCTGTCACAGGTCCTTCAGCATCAGTTGGAATCGTTTCAGGCTTTGAGAATGCAGACTTTACAGAACGTTAGCATGGTACGTTTCTTTTAATCTACATACGAAATATCTCACCTAGAAGTATCATCTCATCTTCTAAGCTGATGGTCACTAGCCACTGGATTAGCTGACTCAGAATTTAACATAATAGAGGGCAGGACACATTCTAGGCACATCATTTCTTTTAAGGAAACTACCTTCTTCTCTCTGTTACACGCATGTTTGCAAACAAGCCAAAAGACATAGTACTCGCTGATTTTTTAAATACACGTTTATAGTCTATATACAGACTACAAACAGGGACTCGCATGACAAGTGACATAAAATCTAATTCAAACTGGCTTAGGAAAAAAATGCACTTTAACAGCTCAAGCAAATGAAAGTCCTGGAAAGAGCTCACTTCAGGACGGCTGAGTCCCCGTGATCAGGTCTCGAGTTGCCGGAACAGGTCCCTGTATCCTGATTCTGCTTTCCACAGTAGGGGATTCTCAGACTTCTGTGGTGGCAGAAGATCTGCTAGAAGTCCCAGTTCTTTCTCCTTCCAAATTCAAGTCAAACAAGAAAGTACATTTTGCTTTGAGATGGAGTTTCGCTTTTGTCACCCAGGCTGGAATGCAGTGGCGTGATCTCGGCTCACTGCAACCTCTGTCTCCTGGGTTCAAGCAATTCTCCTGCCTCAGCCTCCTGAGTAGCTGGGATTACAGGCACTCGCCACAACGCCTGGTTAATTTTTGTGTTTTTAGTAGAGACACCTTTTTATCACATTGGCCAGGCTGGTCTTGAACTCCCAACCTTAAGTGATCTGCCCACCTCGGCCTCCCAGAGTGGTGGGATTACAGGTGTGAGCCACCACACCCAGCTACACTTTGCTCTTAATAGTTTACACTGAGGTTCCTGGCCTGATTCAGACTGCCCCCACTGGATCTCATGCAATGCTTGAAACAATCACTGTCGGGTAGCTGCTGTTTCTTGACTGGTTAGCATTCCGGTGCCCCTGGGAGTTAGAGGCCGAATCAATACTCTTATAAGCACGCTTCAACCAGAAGAAATAAGAAGTATAAACAGAAGGCTAGAGTACGGCTATTGGGGGCACATAACACACACATATTCTGTGCATCTCAAATCATTTGGATATAGTTCACAAAACTTTGTTTTAGTAGGCTGAGCACAGTGGCTCACGCCTGTAATCCCAGCACTTTGGGAGGCTGAGGCGGGTGGATTGCCTGAGCTCAGGAGTTTGTGACCAGCCTGGGCAACACTGTGAAACCCCATCTCTACTAAAATACAAAAAATTAGCCAGGCATGGCAGCATGAGCCTGTAGTCCCAGCTACTTTGGAAGCTGAGGCAGGAGAATTGGCTGAACCCAGGAGGCGGAGGTTGCAGTGAGCCGAGATCGCACTGCTGAACTCCAGTCTGGGTGACAAAGGGAAACTCCGTCTCAAACAAAAATAAATAAATAAAAGCTTTGTTTTACTAAATTGTTTCTGATTTTGTAACAATGCATGTGTGATTTTCTTGAAGATTAATGATCGATTGGAATAAATTAAGCAGCTTTTATTTATATTCTATACAATGGGAAAGAACGTTTACAGGCAGGAAATTTAAATTACAGTTTAATTACAACGTCTATTAATTTAATTACAACGTCTATTAATCTAATTACAACGTCTATTAATTTAATTACAATGTCTATTAACAATGTCTTTTAATTACAATGTCTATTATTTAATCTTTTAATTACAATGTCTATTATTCCTGTAGATTCATAAGTTTACAAATCTGAAATCAAATTTTTCTCAATCTATCTTTTAAAGGTACAGTCGGAAATCAGTGACATATTGAACAAAAGTATTATTGAAGCAGAAAACCCACAGTTCAGCTCAGAAAATAATCTAGTGTTTGGCCCGCACATCGACAAGGATTTGGTATGTCATTCTATAGAAATCACTTCTATACGTAGGTACTTCAAAATGTGACAACGGTCAGTTTATCTGCACTTTACATGATCCCCCATTTTACAGGAGAAATGGAGCATCAGCGATGAAAATAAGGAGACTCCAGTCCTGAAAACCTTAACAGATGTGTGTTTACCTTTGTACTTTTGTGATTTTCCCATTTCCCCTAAGAGTCTATGCAGCACATTTGAATTAGTTCAGATCCTGGAAGATTCCCACATAAATTCAAATACGAGGCAGTTTTGAAGCCAATCTAGTCACTTAGGATTCACCTAGCTCTGGGATAAATTCCCTAGAAAAGCTCCAAACCAGAGTTACCATCACTGTGTCCACAGATTCAAATTCACACTTCCAGGACAGTCACAGTCCTAAAATCATCTGAAACTAGGAAAGCCCAGAATTGGAAACATTCGTTTTCCCAAAACTCCCATTTGACCTACTGGCTCTATCTTCCCCAACTACCTCTGATGGCTTCTTGAAGGACTCTAAATTTCTATACTTCTGAAATTGAGGGATTGGCCCATGTATTTCACGAACCCTAAGGAAATAAGAGCAATTTCTAAGCAAATTGTGAAGACCAGAGTTACAGATCTCAAAGCAACTGTTGGAGAAAATCAGTCATACTTGCTATGCTCCCTTTGCTGTGGAAATGGATAAAGTGCTTGTTTAGGGTATATAACTAAATCCTCCACAAAACAGTATCTGTACTGCTTGGTCATGTGGCAAATGACCATACATTTATAACATACTTCTTACTGTTACAGCCTACAGAGAATCAAGAAGAAAACCTGTCTATAGAGAAAAGTCATCACTTCGAGGATTCCAAGACCCTGCATTCAGCAGAAGAAAAATTAAGTGGTGATAGTGTGAACAGTCTCTCTCAAAGTATAAATGTTCCATCCCAGAGACATTTCGAGGACACATTAACTCTGAGAACTTCAACAGACACTTTATCTTCAAACATGATTATACACCCTTCAGAAAATTCTGACATCTTGAAGAATTATAATAACCATTATCGTTTTCTACCTACTGTACCTCAAAATGGGATGTCTCAAGCTGATAGAGTAACACTGGGTAAATCCAAAATTACTGTGCCTTTTCTCAAGCATGGATTTTGTGAAAATTTAGATGACATTTGCCATTCTATCAAACACATGAAAGAAGAGCTTCAAAAGTCACATGATAGGGAAGTGGCACTTACAGATGAACTTCAGGTTTTAAAAACTGATCCAAATGTTCAAGGTAATGGTAAATATGACCTATCACCTCTTCACCAGGAAAAAAATGGCTTCATTAAGGAAGAAAACATGGATGGCAATTCAAATGAAGATAGAAAATCAAAGAGAACTTCAGAATTAGAGGCATTAATAAACAAATTACTCCCATTCAGGGAAACTGTGTCAAAATTCCATGTGAGTTTTTGTAGAAAATGTAAAAAATTATCTAAGAGTGAAATACACAGGGGAAAGAAAAATGAGAAAAACAATAAAGAAATTCCCATCACTGGCAAGAATATCACCAATTTAAAGTTCCATTCCAGAGTTCCAAGATACACACTGTCATTCCTCGACCAAAGAAGACATGAAATGAAAGGCGGAGACAGACAACCATTTCTAGTAAAACAAGGATCAACAATGTTTGAAAATGAGAAAACGTCCAACGTTAATTCTGTAACTGAGCAGTGTGTTGCAAAAATTCAGTATTTACAGAATTACCTCAAAGAATCTGTGCAGATACAGAAAAAGGTGACAGAACTGGAAAACGAAAATCTAAACCTTAAGTCCAAAATGAAACCTCTTATCTTCACCACACAATCTCTCATACAGAAAGTTGAAACATATGAAAAGCAACTTAAGACTCTGGTTGAAGAAAAGAGTACTATTCAGTCTAAATTAATTAAAACAGAAGAAGACAGCAAGGAGTGTCTCAAAGAGTTAAAAAAGATAATCAGTAAATACGATGCTCTCCAAGTCCAAAAAAAAACTCTAGAAGAACAAAACATGCAACTTTCTTTAGAGAAGCAACAAATGATGGGAGCATTAGACCAACTAAAAAGTCAGGAACACAAAACTCAAAGTGATATGGCCGTTGTCAAACAGGAAAACAACCGAATGAGTATAGAAATGGAAGCGACGAAAACCAACATTCTGCTGATACAAGACGAAAAAGAAATGCTGGATAAAAAAACTCACCAGCTTCTAAAAGAAAAAAGCTCACTGGAAAATGAACTAAAAGTAAAGCAGCTGGAGATGATGCAGCTAAAAGAGAAAGAAAGATTGGCCAAAACCGAACAAGAGGCACTTCTTCAGATAATACGAACTGTTGAAGAGGAAAAACTGAACCTCGAAACAACATTACGAGAATCTGCTGCTGCCAGGCAAATTATGCAAAGAGAAATTGAGACCATTCAAACCTACCAATCTACTGCAGAGGAGAATCTGCTGCAAGAAATAAAAGCTGCAAAATCAGAAGCAAATATTTATAAAAATAGCTTGTCAGAAATTGGCAAGGAATGCGAAGTGTTATCAAAAATGGTAATGGAAATGAAAACAGATAATCAGATTCTAAAAGAAGAGCTAAAGAAACATAGTCAGGAAAATAGAAAATTGGAAAACAGCATCAGTAGACTTACCGAGGACAAAATGCTTTTAGAAAATTATGTAAGAAGCGTAGAAAACGAAAGGGATACCTTGGAATTTGAGATGCAGAATCTTCAACGGGAATATTTAAGTTTAAGTGGTAAAATGTGTAGTCAGCATAATGACCCTTCAAAAACAACTTATATTTCAAGAAGAGAGAAATTCCATTTTGACAACTGTACTCAGGAAGACACTTCCAGTCCTCGGAGTAGGCCTTCGGCTCCAGATCCGAAAGGTACACAGGTCCTGGTAGGTGAGTAGACTTGTATTTAAGATTCTTTTAGCCTCTTGGGCGCTAGACGGAATATAGACATAAGGAGGAAACTTGAAGGTGAATACAATTTTGTTTTGTAAAAATGGTATCCAATTTATTATACAGTGAAATTATTTAGGGATTTTTTTCTAGATAAAATTTATATTATTTGGTTTACATTAATTATGTACATTGCATATGCACAAAGCAACTTTGGAGCCAGCAAGAGGGAGTTAATTATTACTCTAAAGTGTTGGCAGCACTTCAGGACTCCTAAAGGATGGCACTGCTTACACTCTAACATATAAGAAGTTCATTTGTAAGTGCCACTGCCCTGTCATGTGACTTGTGAAGCTCCTCTTTCCTGTGTTTGATAGAACAGCAAATGTCATCTAAGTTTAAGTAGAATTCTTCTTTTTTTTCTAGGAATTCCAAGTAAACTGTATCAATTGCTTCCATCCAAGATATATAAATAAACTGCTCAAATCAATGTTTCAAAACCCTTTGTGCAAGTACTTTTTCCCCCCACAAAATAATTTTAAATTATATGATCACATGAACCTGGTAACTGATTCGGCTAGTTGTTAAAATTAGAAATTGGAATTAGGTATATATTTTACATTGTCAAGAACAGTGGCGAATCTGAGATTTTCCCCAACTGGTAAGCTGATGTTTTAGCTGCTACAGTTCTGTGGGTTCTAGTGCAAGGCACAGGACTCCTGAGTGAGAGAGAAAGGAGAGTGTTACAATGGCGGGGGCCAGAGCGTCAACATGTTTGCGTTGGTTCTTCAAGCTCTAATTTCTATAGGCAGCAAAAAGAGGACCACACGGTGGGTCGCATTACAGGAGAGAATGAGCTCAGAGAACCAAGTATTATAATGCATAGTAAGCATCGCTGCCCTTTGCTGTAGATGGAAAGGTTACTCGGGACAATGAGCAGGCCTGTCCCAGCTCCGCAGGAAACACAATTTCTAGCTTCCAAGGTTGCAAGCACACCTGCCCTGTGCTCCAGAGACACTGTATTTCTAAGACTGCTTGGAAAACATTCCTTGTTGAATTTTGCCAAATGCTTTTTCTACGTTTATTGAGGTGATAGTGTTTTTCTCCTTTAATCTGTTAATATGGTAAATTATGTTAATTTTGAAACCTTAACCTTGAATTTCTGGGATAAACTCCACTAGGTCATGTGGTATTATTCTTTTCATATACATTCCTGGTTTCAATTTGATAACATCTTATTAAGGATTTTGCTTCTATATTCAGAAGGTTATTATCTGTATTATTTTCATGTAATCTCTTTGTCTGGCTTTGGTATCAGGAAAATCCTGTTGGGAAGTGTTTCCCCCTCTTCTGTATTCTGAATTTGTGCAGGATTGGTATTATTAGTATTATTCCTTCCTTAAATATTTAAATATGTAATGCTCATAAATATTTGTAAAATATGTAATATGGAAATACTCACCAGAGGGCCTGGAGTTCTCTAAATGGGAAGGTTTTACATTGCTACGTGATTTCTATTAATATAGAACTATTCAGATTTTCTATTTCTTGAGTTAGGGTTGATAATTTGTATGTTCTGAGGAATTTGTACATTTCATGTAAGTTCTCAAATGTATTGTCATAAAGTTGTTCATAATATTCCTTATTAGCGTTTTAATGTCCAAAGGACTTATGGTGATGTCCCGTCTTTAATTTCTGACATTGGTAATTTGGGGGTTCTTTTTTCTTTATCATTCTTACTAGAGTTTTATCAATTTTATTGTTTTTTTTAAAAAATCGGGCCGGGCGCGGTGGCTCAAGCCTGTAATCCCAGCCCTCTGGGAGGCCGAGGCGGGTGGTTTAATGGACTTACAGTTCCAAGTGGTTGAGGAAGCCTCACAATCATGGTAGAAGGCAAAAGGCATGACTCACATGGCAGCAAGCAAGAGAGAAAATGAGAACCAAGCAAAGGGGTTTCCCCTTTTAAAACCGTCAGATCTCGTTAGCCGTATTCACTACCATAAGAATAGTATGGGGAAAACTGCCCCATGATTCAAGTAACTCCCACCAGGTCCCTCCCACAACATGTGGGAATTATGGGAGCTACATTTCAAGATGAGATTTGGGTGGGGACACAGCCATACCATATCATACCCTTATCAAAGATAACTTTCCCAATGCATTATTTGATATACAGATATTTTACATTTCCCTTTTAAAATATAACCACCACCAGCCCCTGCCCTTGTTGAATGAGGGCTCTTGATAGCTCACTATGAATTACAGTATTATATTTAAGTCACATCTCTTAAGAGCAGATATTTTTTAAAGAGAGGGCAGGTGAAGAAGAAGTGATAACTTGGGGTCTAGCAGGTGAGGCCTAGGTGGGATGCCTCAGGAGAAGCAGCTTGACAGTTAGAGAGGAACATGGGAGGACCCCAAAGACTGACTTCATCCATCTTCCAAAGTCATAATTTTTATAAGATACTCAGCTAACAAGTACATTCCCCCTCAACCCCTCCACTCATCCTGGGGCTGCCATTGGCTAAGTAATCTGATGCTTTACATAAATAAAGCCACAAATAGAGGGCACATTACCACATAAGCCGAAGCATTTGCCTCACTATATCATGTGTATATATTGTATCTATGTAATACTATAAATGGATCTAGCATTTCTCTTTGATGTTAAGAATGCTTTAGTAGGCTCTGACACTTGGGTAGCTATCAATCCAATTTTCAATACTTCCGAGAAGAAACAGCAAGAATTTACTGTGTACTTCCTACCCTCCCAGCAGCCACTTCCACTCCTCCCCTCCAACCCTGCAATTTTTTAACATTAGAAGTAAAACCAAATGAGAGATTGTACTTTAGGATTTTATAAAATGTGTAGACATATTCTGCTCAGAAACATAGATCTAAAAACATAAATCAGCAACCACGTGTTAGTAGCAAATACTATTTATTAATTAAGTAGTATTAAAATAAGGAAGAGAATTCGAGTTGCAGGCTTAAATTTCTTTTATAACATTATATCTTTTCAAGTAATTAGCTCTTGATAATGAATTACTGGTAGTTAAGATCTAGAAAGCTACTTGTCTTCCAGTTGCTAATAGGATGGTACTGAAGCAGTCTTGTAGTTCTTTGAATTGAGTGCCCTAAAATTGGAAAATAAACACACATTAATTTTATAGGTGCAGGTCAAATACCTGTACATTCTTCATTCTTTTTTTTTTTTTTTTTTTTTTTTAAGACAAGGTCTCGCTCTGTCATCTCCAGCTCAGGCTGGAGTACAGTAGTGCCATCACAGTTCACAACAACCTCAACCTCCTAGGCTTTTAAGCAATCCTCCTGCCTCTGCTGCCAAAGTAGTTGGGTCTGCAGGCATGCACCACCATGCCTGGCTAAGTTTTATATCTTTTGTAGAGACAGGGTTTTGCCATGTTGCCTAGGCTGGTCGTAAAATTCTGGGCTCGAGCAATCTGCCTGCCTTGGCCTTCCAGAGCGCTGAGATTACACACGTGAGCCACCATGCCCAGCCTATGTGTCCATTCTTATAAAAACTGTTTTCATTAAAAAATTTAAAATTAATGGTCTCTGTAACATATTAACAATCCAAAACCAAAACTTTCTCATCAACTTAAAATACCTCATTAAAGCCATACATACTTCGAAGATATAATCTAAGAGGGAAAACAACTACAGAATCAATTTTAAAACTACTGTCCAAAGGTCTACTAGTTTTAAAATTAGGGTAAAAGAAGCTAGAACTTGATTTAGGATAATGTTTTGATAATGTACTCTAAAAAGAAAGAGATGCCAATAAATTCAAAATTAGTAAACAGAAGATGAACTTCTGATTTTTCAAAAGAACAATCACTTACTCTTCTCTTTCTCCCTGCTCCAAACATACATGCTACTGCATCATAGAACTTTCTCAGGTTTATTCTCCGGATAGAATATAACACAGAAAACCTGAAATGCCGTCCCCTCTCCCCTTCACACACAAAGTTCCACCTGTCAGAGGGTGGGTGTGGTGAGGAAAATTCCTATTTTACCATCTGTTTATTAGATGAAGTTGGGCAGAGTAGTGATAGGTGGCTTGCCAGAGGTTAAAGGTTAAAAAGATAGAAAAAAGCTCCATATCTTCCTGTTTCTAAGTCCAATACTCTGTCAGCTAGCCCACAGATGATAATATTCCTGTCGACAGCAGTTTCAATCACATACATTTACCCTACTATCCAGGGGAATCGTGGCTCAGTGACACAGATCAGTTTTTGTTAATTCATAAAATGTGAATTTTGCTAGGCCAAAATCAATTACTTATTCCACAAAATTGTCACCAAAGTGCTACAAAGAGTAGATAAGATAGGCAAAAATCAGTCACTGTCATCATCCATATTAGCATATTACATAATAAAACCCATATAGGTTAAGCCGCCATTCAAAATATATTTCCGGCCAGGCAGTAGCTCATGCCTGTAATCAGAAATACACCTTTGTAGTGAAGGGCAGTTTTTTTGTGTGTGAAATAATAATGTTAGTATTATAATTACTATCCCCAAGTGATAAAGATGTACTACCATTTTTATAAAAGAATGTAAATTTAGTGTCCTATAGACACAGAATAACTGACTGTTTTTACTCCCAAGAACTTTTTCAGGTTTGAGAGTGTACAAAACCTGGATACAATTTAAGTTTTACGATACTTTGGTAATATACTTTTTCTCAAAGCATTATAGTTACGTTGGCATTTTTAATTAACCAGAATATTTTGTATTTTCACAGGTTATCTCAACGTTAAAGACAGAACTCTCAGGCATCATTAGGATTCCTCACAACTGCTAAGAAACTCCCTTTGAGAAACAGCCAATGTTAACATGTCCTGCTAACTGACTATGAATACCTAACTAGTCTCAAATGACTCACACTAAGGCGCTACAGATTTGCTTCAAAAATTATGCACAGATTGGTTTGGTGCAGATAAGTTAGGCTTTTTCAGCTGAGAATTTCCGAAGATGAGAGAGAACTTCTACAAGGGAGGGCAGGTACCTGTATGTGGAAGGAGCTGAGATATCTAAAGTCACCCAAATTTGTCATTTAAAAAAGTATGCATAAATAAAAGATACTATTTTGAAAAGAGATAAAAGTTGGAAACGATTTTTAGTTGGCTTATAAGCTAAGTGTGAGATACTCCTACCTTCTGACATTCAAAGTCATTATACTTTCAACTGGTCTGCTCTTCGGTCCGCTTGGTGGGTGGAAAATCTTACCGTCTTTGCCAGAAATCTTTGCCAGTTTAGTTACATAAGGGTCGGCAGAATGTGATGGGTAAGGATCAAACGTTCCTGCCTTCATTCCACCAGGCTGCAAAGAAAAATGAGACAACTTAATGTGATTTTGTAAAATGCCTCTACAAAATTAGCTCGTGAAGAAGTTCACATTTATTTTGGTAGCCTACAGAGCTGGTTTTAAAGGAAATGATACTGTTTAATTCAAATACCACCAAAAGGTCTCCCTATCACCAACTTTATAGGGTCAAAACATCATAATCCAAAAGCTCTCTATAAAAATGACAATGTTTATAGGAAGGTAACAGTCTAAACTATTGCCAAGCATTAATATCTTAGAGTTTACCAGACCAGGCTCTGACAGTTAGAAAGAGAGTCTATTAAGTAAGGAAAACCTCAGTCAGATGTATTTCGATAGAGAATGAGGAACAAGGAGGATGGCACAACATGCGTTTACTAAATGCAGTCAGTGATGGAGAAGATACTTAAAAAAAAAAAAAAGCAATGAGCAACAGCATATAGAAATAGGACGTGAGAGGCCAGTGAGATCCACTTCACTGCTCTTGTAGTAGACCAGGAGAAGCCGCTCCAATATGCTTCAGCCTATACACAAGACAGAAAGCGCTGCCTTGACTTCTTAAACTGATCTGACAGAATTTTAAACTTTATATTCTATACAGTCACCAGGAAAATTCCATGCAATCACAACTCATTTAATTAGGCACCCTTTTCTTATAGTATCTATGCCAAATATACATGAAGGTTTAACTCATTTGAAAGACACGACTGTAAGTTTTCAGGTTTTCCCGACTGAAAACACATGGATTAAAGATCACAATAATAAGAAGACTTAAGAAAGCTTAAATTAATTAAAAGTATAAAAGTCAGTTGAATTAAAAATAGAAAAAACGCAGATTAAATAAATCCAAGTGATGCTTTAAAAAGTAGATTAATAGCTAAATCTGTAATAGAATCCAGAATGCAAAAGAAGTGAGGGAAGTCTATACCTATATTAAATATCAAAAATATAAAATAATATTTCTGTAAACTTCTATGTGAATAAATTCAAAAACCTGAATAAAATGACTGATTGTCTAAGAAAATATAAATAATCAACATCGACCAAAAAGAGATAGAAAACCTACACAAAACAGATGTCCCCATGCAACAATCCTGCATGATCTGCACATGTACCCCAGAACCTAAAGTACACTAAAAAATAAAAACATAAAATAAATGTTAATATATCCAAAATATGAAGAGTAAATTTTATAACAAAACATCAAAGGTCTTTTCCTTTTTGGAACTTTAGAAAATAATTCTGAAGTTCTGAGAATACGACAGAATAACCAGCATAACTTTTTTTTTTTTTTTTTTTTTTTGAGATAGAGTCTCACTCTGTTGCCCAGGCTGGAGTTCAGTGGTGCAATCTCAGCTCACTGCAACCTCTGCCTCCTGGGTTCAAGTGATTCTCCTGCCTCAGCCTCTGGAGTTGCTGGGATTACAGGCACCTGCCACCACGCACGGCTAATTTTTTATATTTTTAGTAGAGACGGGGTTTCACCATGTTGGGCAGGCTGATCTTCAACTCCTGACCTCATGATCCGCCCACCTCGGACTCCCAAAGTGCTGGGATTACAGGCGTGAACCACCGTGCCCAGCCAGCATAATTTTAAAGCGTAAGAAGAGACCAGACCACTCACTATTAAACATAATAGAAATTAAAAGGTTTTTTTGGGCAGAAATAAACAGTCAAATGGAATGAAAACTCAGAAACATATCTTCAAAAATAAGAATTTTGGGTTTGATAAAAACAGCATTTCAAAGTAATGGTGTTAAAAATGAATTATTCCATCAGTCATATTAGGAACAACTTGATTTTTAAAAAATCAGTTTTATTAAAGTCTAATTCACCTACGATAAACTATACTCCATTTAAAGTGTACAGTGCTATGAGTTTTGACAGATATCTACACCCTTGAAATCACAATTAAGATACAGAACATTTCCACCCTCTGCCCAAAGTGTCCTCACGCCCCAAACTAAATAAAAGCTGGATTCTTACCTCACTCCTTACATCAACATGTATTTTAGATAAATATCTAAATGCAAAAGGATCGGACTAATAGAAAAAATTAAGAGGACACATTATTCTAATATTGGTGGTAAAGAGAGCCATTCCGAAAATGACATAAACCTTACCAACCATGGACTGATCAATCTGACTACATCAACTTACTAAATTCCTGAACAGCACAAAACACCATAACCAAAGATCCAACAGATTTAAAAAACTATTTTTAACACAAATAACAAAAGTAGTACCCTAAATATATGAAGAGATCTTACAAGACATCTTACAGTATTGAAAACATAAACTTTGAAATACAAAGTCTGCAAGAAAAATGAACAGGCAATTTACAGAGAAAAAGTATAGACTAAGGTTCATGAGCTGCTAAAGCATTTTCATTTTTATTAACACTTGTTAACTTCTGCAGTAGGGAGATCGTTCATTTTAATTACCATTTCAAAAACTAAAGGATGGTTTGGCTTTTTATGGTTTTAAGAGAAACTAGACCGAGGGTGTAGAGAAGCACTTCAAAAATTCATTTGAATTCACCAGCGTGGTAGCACGAACCTGTAATCCCAGCTACTCTGGAGGCTGATATACAAGAAACGCTCGAACTCGAGAGGCGGAGGATGCAGTGAGCCTAGATCATGCCACTGCACTTCAGCCTGGGCGACAGAGTGAGACCCCGTCTCAAAAAAAAAGAAAATCAGTATAAATTCAAATACATTTGAAGAGACTAATAATTACTTCATGACAAGAGCTTCATTATCCCCTACCCTATATTCATACTTGGTGATTTCATGTAATTTTATAAAAATGGGTGGCATGATTCTTGGTATCAGTACAAACAAAAGTTTATTATATACATGGGAAAAAAATCATTTGACAACAAGAGACAGTATTTCTTGATAATGCTTAATTTTTTTCATCCTAAAATTAACTTACCTTTTTACCTGGAGAAGAAGGTTTAAAAGTGGTTGAAATTGCTTCTTTCTTCTCTTCTTTTTTAATTGGTGGTAAAGGTTCCTCAGAAAAATAAGGGTTAGCATCAAAATAGTCCCTTGGGTGAAGATTTAACTTAAACGGTGCTCCTTTAAGTAAACGATGGTGTTCTTCATTCGCTTTCTGTAAATTTGAAATTGCATAGCATAAATTACACAAATTGAAAATAACCTAGAGTTAAATCTTTTACATTTTAATATAAACATGATTCTTAAATACATATTGCTAGGTGTATTTTTTTAAAACATTAATTTGCTAAGTTCTATTTTTATGATACAAAAGACAAGCTGTCCTCCTTACAGACAAGCAGAACTATGATTATTCATTTTGGATACAAATTTATTCATGGTACTGAGACCTTATCACCTGAACAAACCTGTAATAACTACCTGGGCAGTATGATGCGGTATAAAAAGACTTGTCTCTAGTTCTAGCCCTTCCTGCTTTGTATCATTTCAGAGAGACTCTGGGAAAGTTATCTTTTATTGTCACATCATCTTCAACTGTAAATAAGGACATTATTATTCCTCCTTAATATAATACATGAGATTATATGATTTTATATATAGGAGATGTATATAGAAAACATTTTTATAATTTTTAAAAATATTTTATATGTATATATGAGATTATACATTTATATGTATATATGTATGCATGTGTATATATGTATATAATATAAATATGCATATATATGTATAGATATATATGTATATATAACATTTTCATAATAATTTTTGCTATCTAGTATTCAAAGCAAAACAGCACTTTTTTCCTATGTTGTAATCATTTCTATCAGAAATACTAAGTATAAAAATCACTGTCTATTAATAAAGTAGCAAAAAAATCACATTATGAAATATAGATTCCAAAAGACAACCATACAGTGACCATTGATACATTTTCCCTTTTTTGCAAATATAAAATCTGGTAAATAATCCAACAAACTGAACTGAAAACACGTGATAAATGAAATCTACAACAGACAGTTACTTGAGAGAAGACTCCCTTCTGCTACTAGGACCCCACCGTGGCACTTTCCGAACCCTTCCCTCCGTTTGGAGTTTTCTCCTGCCCTTGCTTATCCTCCTCCTTTGTAGGACATTCATCCATCTTGGTGATCTGCTCTCCACCCTTCCATATCACAACAATGGGACTCAGCATTTATTCTATTGATCTTTCTGGGCAGTGTTCCGCAAAATGTAAGCGTCATGGGAATCACTTGATGAGTTATTTAAATTACAAATCACCAAGCCCTTCCCTCAAAGACTTTTGATGGCATTGGTCTGCTTGTACAGCCCATGAATCGGCAGTTTTACCAGTCGCCGTCAGTGACTCTCATGCATGTGATTATAACGTAATGTTTTAGGGTCACTTTGTGCTAGAGCACGGCCACCTTTAGCAGAAGAGTACTGGATTTGTTTTACCAACACTGCCCTGGAATGTTCAGTTGAGTACTGATCAACAGATGTGTGAGAAACTATTGAAAGCCATAAAGAACCACCTGAAACAATGTGAGGCAACAGTGTCTGGCTCTCACACAGAACTGGGAATTGTGCTGGTTGCCATCAGCTGTGCAAGAAAACTTGATTACAGGGCATCGGATGAAGTGCCTAGAAAGGTCTTGCCTCACCAGTGGGGAATAATTAGCCCTAGATTGATCATAGCTCCTATCACCCCTAACAAATCTTAAATGCAAGACCTGAAAAAATAAAAACCATTGCTAAGTAATCTGACAGCATTCCAGAACAAAGCCCGAGAATATTTATAAGAATACAAAAACAGCCTGGCACAGTGGCTCACGCCTATAATCCCAGCACTTTGGGAGGCCAAGGCGGGTGGGTCACGAGGTCAAGAGATCGAGACCATCCTGGTCAACAAGGTGAAATCCCGTCTCTACTAAAAATACAAAAATTCGCTGGGCATGGTGGCTCGTGCCTGTAATCCCAGCTACTTGGGAGGCTGAGGCAGGAGAATTGCTTGAACCCAGGAGGCAGAGGTTGTGGTGAGCCGAGATCATGCCATTGCACTCCAGTCTGGGTAACAACAGCAAAACTCCGTCTCAAAAAAAAAAAAAAAAGAATACGAAAACATACAGCACTCAACAAAGTAAAATTCTCAGTATTTGACATCCAGTAAACAATTGCCAGAAATTCAAAGTAACAAAATATGACCCCCATACTGAGAAGAAAAATCAATTACTTAAAATTAACCAAGAACTAATATAGATGTTAGCATTAACAGAAAAGGGCATTACGACAGTAACCACATAATATTTGCTCAAAAAATTAAGTAGAGACATATAAGACATTAAAAACACTCAAACTTCTAGAGAGCAAAACCATAATGTATGAGATTAAAAATACACTGGTTGACATTAACAGCAGATTGAAAGTTACAGAAAAATAAAGTGATTTTGAAGATGCATCAATAAAAATTATGCAAAATAAAATACAGAGAAGGAAAAAAGGACATTTTTTAAAGTTAATAGGGCATTGGTAAATTGTGGGACAATTTCAAGAGACCTAATACACATGTAACTGGAATCTCTGAAGTGGAAGAGAAAGACAGAGAGATAAAAAATATCTGAAGAAATAATAATGTAAATATTCCAAATTCAATTTGAAAAACTATAAACCCATAGATCCAAGACGCTCAACAAACCCCAAGCATAAGAAGGATGAAAGGAAACAACACAAAGTCACATCATAATCAAACTAATTAAAAGTCATAAAAGGAAAAAAAAGTAGAGAAAAAAACACATTACATACAGAAGAACAAAACTGAGCAAGACAACACGTTTCTCATCAGAAACAATTCAAGCAGGAAGGCAGTGGAGTAACCTCTTAAAAATACTAAAAGAAAAAGATACATTTTGAAAATTACTTTTAGAATGTTAGCAAATCTAGGACCATAAAATTTCTGATTTATGCATAAGTTCTAAAAATGAGAATAAAAAAGCTTTTCCTGTTAAGAGAGAAAACTATCTTATAGCCAACAAATATAGGGTGAAAGATTAATTACTGAGCCACTGTAAAATTCCACTGTACATAGTGATGTAGTATGGATGCATTATTATTCCTATGGATGAAAAGTAGTTTACACACTATTTTATAAGAACCAAGGGTTCTGCCCAATTTAACAGAAAACTGTTCCTGAGTTTGGACATAGCCACTTGCAAAATTGGTCATTATTCTCTCACATTCCGCTGGTGCTTAAAATCACCATAGCAAAACTGTTAAAGCCTGCATGCTTATAAAAGCAAAAAACTATAAAGTGATTGCTGTTTAATGCTAAATGTCTAGATTAGCTTGACTTTCCATTACAACCAGCTTTCCTTATGTTATCTTGATATTGTGAAATTATGTTCATATGGTTCTAAAATTAATTTTTTTATTTTTTTATGTTTTTTTCTATTTTTTTAATTGCATTTTAGGTTTTGGGGTACATGTGAAGAACATGCAAGATTGTTGCATAGGTACACACATGGCAGTGTGATTTGCTGCCTTCCTCCCCTTCACCTCTATCTGGCATTTCTCCCCATGGTATCTCTCCCCAACTCCTCACCCCCCCCCCCCGCTGTCCCTCCCCTATTTCCCCCTAACAGACCCCACTGTGTGATGCTCCCCTTCCTGTGTCCATGTGTTCTCATTGTTCAACACCCACCTATGAGTGAGAACATCTGGTGTTTGATTTTCTGCTCTTGTGTCAGTTTGCTGAGAATGATGGTTTCCAGGTTCAACCATGGCCCTACAAAGGACATGAACTCATTATTTTTGATGGCTGCATAATATTCCATGGTGTATATGTGTCACATTTTCCCTGTCCAGTCTATCATCGATGGGCATTTGGGTTAGTTCCAGGTCTTTGCTATTGTAAACAGTGCTGCAATGAACATGTGTCCTTATAGTAGAACGATTTATAGTCCTTTGGATACATACCCAGTAATGGGATTGCTGGGTCAAATGGAATTTCTATTTCTAGGTCCTTGAGGAATCGCCACACTGTCTTCCACAATGGTTGAGCTAATTTACACTCCCACCAACAGTTTAAAAGTGTTCCTATTTCTCCACATCCTCTCCAGCATCTGTTGTCTCCAGATTTTTTAATGATCGCCATTCGAACTGGCGTGAGATGGTATCTCAATGTAGTTTTGATTTGCATTTCTCTAATGACCAGTGACGATGAGCATTTTTTCATGTTTGTTGGCCTCATGTTTGTCTTCTTTTGTAAAGTGTCTGTTCATATCCTTTGCCCACTTTTGAATGGGCTTTTTTTTTTTTTTCCTGTAAATCTGTTTTAGTTCTTTGTAAATTCTGGATATCAGCCCTTTGTCAGATGGGTAAACTGCAAAAATTTTTCCCATTTTGTTGGTTGCCCATCCACTCTAATGACTGTTTCTTTTGCTGTGCAAAAGCTGTGGAGTGTGATTAGGTCCCATTTGTCTATTTTGGCTTTTTCTGCCAATGCTTTTGGTGTTTTTGGTCATGAAGTCCTTGCCTATGCCTATGTCCTGAATGGTTTTGCCTAGATTTTCTTCTAGGGTTTTTATGGTGCCAGGTCTTATGTTTAAGTCTTTAATCCATCTGGAGTTAATTTTAGTGTAAGGTGTCAGGAAGGAGTCCAGTTTCTGCTTTCTGCACATGGCTAGCCAGTTTTTCCAACACTATTTATTAAACAGGGAATCCTTTCCCCATTACTGTTTTTGTCAGGTTTGTCAAAGATCAGATGGTTGTAGATATGTGTTGCCTCTGAGGCCTCTGTTCTGTTCCATTCATCTATATCTCTGTTTTGGTACCATACCATGCTGTTTTGTTTACTGCAGCCTTGTAGTATAGTTTGAAGTCCAGTAGTGTGATGGCTTCTGCTTTGCTCTTTTTGCTTAGAATTGACCTGGCTATGCAGGCTCTCTTTTGGTTCCATATGAAGTTTAAGGTGGTTTTTTCCAGTTCTGTGAAGAAGATCATTGGTAGCTTGATGGGAATAGCATTGAATCTGTAAATTACTTAGGGCAGTATGGCATTTTCACAATATTGATTCTTCCTAACCATGAACATGGAATGTTTCTCCATCTGTTTGTGTCCTCTCTTATTTCGTTGAGCAGTGGTTTGTAGTTCTCCCTT